TCGCCCGTCAGTACATGTACCTTCCATAAACTTATGAATATTTGTGACATGGTAATAACGACTAGGCCTAACAGTAAATTTGTAATGAATTTCGTTTCCGGGTTGCATGAATAGATAAAATATTTTAAATTGTCTTTGTTGATTTGAAGTTATGACTAGCGATTGTAGCAAGGATCTTTTCTGACTGGTCACCATCATGTTTCTAAAGGGGTTCCAAATCTCACTTGTGCTTTTGTGATTAGGCTTCACTCAACACTTACGTGCTCATGCCTATAAATGGAGGTCATTAAGCTGAAGGGAATGAAGAAAGTTGTATGATTTGCAAGAGACTTCACTGAGGATAATATTGATATATTGATTACATTTTAAATCATGTCAATCAAATTCTCGTAAGCTGCTAGGAGTTACGAGTCGTATGTATGTTGTATATATGTTGTCGAATGATTTTGTTTACTGTAATTAATATTACCGATTCGCTGAAGCCATCTGATGTAGCTGAGTGGCTCATTCCAATACACCGTATTTGTATTGACCAACGTATGCAAGAGGGTNGCTGAAGCCATCTGATGTAGCTGAGTGGCTCATTCCAATACACCGTATTTGTATTGACCAACGTATGCAAGAGGGTAATAATATCAGAATCACCATATTCAAACTAACAGTGAATGCTATCCAGCACGGATTCAACTCAGTTAGTATTTGTATGCATTTGATTTCTACTGCCATCAGGTTAATATCCTTCAGTTTGGTCTCATTTCAGTGAGTATAACTTTGCAATTGACTTATTGTTCACCTCAGGTGAATTGATTATATTCGTGATATGAATCCAAACTATACCCGGTTGTTGCTTACTGTTTATCATTAGTTTATTTCTTGTTGCATGGATCACAATTAGCTGCGAACATGCTTATTCGCTCAAACTGAATTAATTTCAATTGAAATATTTCTCGTTGTTCGAGAAAGTATCTGTTAACATGCGGAGAGAGCCATGGCACAATGGATGCGTGTTCTGTGTGTGTTAGATCACACTCCCCTTCTCCTTCAGCTAAACTGAAGGATTTCCTATTATATTTACTGCATTTTCAATATTTATTCTAGCAGAAATTAGTCTAACTCGACCACTCGCTCTATTGCAAAACCTCTTTTTTCAAATTTCTTAACAATAAATTTTGAATCGAGTCGTTTCTCTCGATTGAACTGAATGAGTGACATCAATCTCCGCACACTCTCGTTCCATATCACACATCAAAAGCTCCTTTACTCACATCATATTACGAGTGGCAAGAAGGAGATTCTCGCAAGCGTTTAGTGATTCAAGTGGTTTGTAGACAGTTGGCCATAGGCGTGTGTTGTTTCAAGGAGGGCGGGGTCTCGACCGCGTTCCGCGGAAATGAGGTGATCAGAGATAGTGATGGTGATCGGGCGAAATTTCGGTTCGATCGGAATCCGACTGAATCAAGTTTTTTAAGATTCCGAAAACTGATATTCTGACCGACTTCGGTCAGTTAAGATTACAACTGAGTAGGACATACAGTTCTAACTATTTCACTTTCATATCATAAAACCTTTGGAAAGTGTCTTCATTTTTTGCGAAATGAAAAACTCTTCTGATTAAAAAAATGCTACAATGTAGTCGCTCGGCTCGATGACAATTCCATCAACTTTTAATTGGGTACTTTGCAAATGTCACTCTTATTTTTGCCCAAGATTTTCACTTTGAGGCCACTGAAGTCTTTTCATAATGAATATCATTTTTCAAAGCACGGAAGCTGATATTTTAGAGGTTTACATTTCCTATAGAGTGTGCTTATAATAAATTGAATCATTCTGCACTGCAGTCAGTCTCCCCGAAAACGATCCTTTTCTGCAATAGCATTCGTGTAAATTTTGATGATTCAAGCGCATAGTCACTCGTTGACATATGTTCAACGTTGACTCCGCCCGTGCTTTCGAGCGTGTTTGTATGGCGAAATGCGAGAGCGCTACTAGTATTATATGTGCCACTTGTCACGTTCTCGCACATTCTTATCAATGAAATTACAAGTTTTTTTACAGTTTCGCAATATTTATTGTTCTTTAGAGACATCGTTTTTAAATGTCGTTCCCTTTTTCCCAACCGGAATCACGAAGTGACACAAATCAATCAACTTTTCATCATTCATCACTCGAAGTCACAATTAGATTTGTAATAGATTTAGAATCTTTTGCAAACGTCAGTCGAATTCAGCATTTTTGACACGCTTTCTAAAACGAAGCGGTTTGTTGATGATGGCAGTGCCAAGCAGTAATCGCAGTTCAAAGATTATCCAAGCTATTTTTCTCATTTTTCTAATATTCTGCTGTTCTGCTATCTTCTAACACAACAGGGTGAGGTGGCCTTATGGCTCGACGAAAATCGACGTTTCTTTCTCTTTTCTATTCACTTGGAATCGGGAAATTGCAATGATAGTTCGAGATTTTCAGTGTTTATCAGTTTTTATGCGGTTTCTAGGCGTTCAATATTGCATACAATTATTTTTGTTTTCTGAAATTTGTTCATAATTTAAGATTTGAGCACTAAAAATCGATTGTTTGAATGCGTAAGGCGTAATGCGCAATCCAGATGAAGTACCTGTGCACCACTTAGTGGCTGATACTGGAGCGTTCATTAAACGGGTACCTTTACAGGTGAGTTGTTGCATTTCAAGTTATTACTATCGTTTCATTATCATTCGTATCGTAATGCCATCTTATGAATGTTGTGGGATCAGGGAATTTCGGGTTCCCAGTCCCGATTTTTATCTACTACTCATCCAGAGATCATAAATAAATGCCATTGTGTTCTTATCTTCTTCTCTGTCGGCACCATCCTTCTAACACAACCAGTAATAGTCCTCGCTTAGCAAATTTTCCAACTGCTCGAGTTGTTTCTCGACTTTTCATGTAATGATCTCAGAAGTATGCGGTTATTACCTGCGCTGCTTTAATCAGTGCTAAGAGGGATTCTTCATTATGCTCACGATCAGTATTGCCACCATTATTGGTCTGGACTTTAGTTTTGTTTCTAAATCAATGCACCTAGAACACCTGAATATTTTTTCGTCCATCAGTTCAATGCCACCAAAATTTTTTCGGTTTTGATTGCATAGTAATTTATTCAGAACCGAAATTGGATTTCAGGATCTCGGTGCTGTCATTTATACGGTACAAGAGGTGCTTGATGAGTTGAAGTGTGAAAAGTCAAAGCATCTTCTCGAGACTATTCCTTATGAAATTGTTATTCGGGAGCCATCGAAAGAATCTCTTCAAATTGGTTCGTATGTTAAAAAAATTTTTTTCTGCATTAATTTCATTTTCTATATGTAATCTAGTTAAGTGCTTAAGTCATTTAGTTATGATTTATATTGATTATTCGATTGATTTAATGAATGTTTTTCTATTTTGGAAATATTTTTGCTAATATTTTCGTCTGTTTCAGTGTGTGATTGCTCGAAAAAGACCGGTGATTATGCGTCTCTGTCGGTTGTCGATTTAAAAGTGTTGGCTCTCACTCACGATCTACATGTTCAGGTTAATCTGCTCCACCATTGCATCTCCATTTACGGTTTTATTTCAAGAAACGAATTGAGAAAAGATTCTCTAAAAATGATTCTGATCTAACAATCTGAGAAGATTATGATTCATTCCCATCTCACCCCGTCGAATCGTTTGTTTTATTATCGTTGTCATCGAGTGCTATCGTCAGCTCTAGTGCATCTTCGAATAAATTTGGCTGTCCACTCGAACGACTGAAACCAATTTGCAAATGTGGGAAATGTTTTTTGAGCTAAGCAAACGACCTGCTCGCAATATTCTCGGTGTGTAAGACGACGAAGCGCAAATGTGGGCATAATTATAGATATTATTGTTATTGCTAAATGAACTCTAATTACAGACATGTGGTAAAGATAAACTCAATTATGATTGTAAAAAGACGGCCGATACAAGAGCGCCTGATTCAGAAGCTGTAAAATCAGGTGATGATGAGCATCAAAATGGAGCTGATGGAGATGCTACAGTTCCTGAAAAGAAATATGATGCCTTAGCGGGATTCTACAATCCATCCTCGTCATCATCAGCAAAACAGGTCGGTCACTAGTTCAGTTAGAGAATTCGTTTTCAACTATGCTCAGTCGATCGTTTACTAAATTGGATAGAAAAAAGTCATTGTGTCTGTTAATGAGCTGAATATTAGAAGTTGAAATTAATGTTCATTGTATCCAATTTTGTTATTTTTTGAGTCAGTGTTTTTTCCTTTTGATTTTTGATCTTTTCAAATATGTTCTTTTCTTTCTGATTTGTTCGTTTTGCAGAATATTTTTAATATTGATCAGTTGCAGCGCTGATCACTTGTATGATTCATTGTGTTCATTATGATGATAGAAATTGCATTTGAGAAAAAGTTCTCTAAAATGATTCTGATTTAAACAGTCTGAGCGAGATTGTGATTCATTTCCATCACACCTTTTGATCGTTTGTTTTTTTATCGTCGTCATCGATCGCTACCATCAACTCAAATACATCTTTGAATAAATTCGGCTATCCACTCGAACGACTGAAATTGAATCCCAAATGTGAAAATGTTTTTCTGAGCTGAACAAACGAACTGTTCGAAATATTGCAGTTTGTGCAGGACGATAAGCGCAAATAGAGGCATCATTGTAGATATTAAGGTTAATAGATGGAGCGTATTTGTGAAAATTTGCAGCAACCTAATGGGAATATCGAAGGTGATAAACGGATAGAAGAGGATCGTGATAATGGCGATAACGAAGAGAACGAAAGCGATAGTGGAAGTGATGCAGAAGAGGGTTGGTTAGATGAGAACAACATCGATGAGACACTCCTTCAAATGGGTGCTGTTGCAGTGCCTGATAAGAATATGAAGGTATTTTTATGCNGACTTAATTCGTATATTTTGAGGTATATTTCATTTGCAGATAATTTTTCATTGTTCTTTTTGCTGGATTCTATGTGCGTATCGCATTGGAGACTACTGAGAGAGTTTTCTCAAATAATTCCTCTCTGATTATTCCGTATCTGTTTTCTTCCAGCCTTACATGTCATCCAGTTGGTGGGCTTCTGTTTTTGGTGAATATCTTTTGAATTCGTTTGGCATTTAATATGCGGCGGAGAAACTTTATTGGGGGAAAACTTTCGAATTTGTAGGATATTTATTGTGTGAAAGTGTTGTTGTAAATGAATGGTAGTTGGGATTTATTTCGAGTAATGCAAAGTGTTAAGATGTCGTTCATGTTATGCGACCACCACGCAAATGACTCGTCGTTTCTGTGCGAAATGTGGTTATGATTCATTGCATCGTGTTGCGGTCACGGTGAACGAGGATGGCACGAGCGAGTTACACATCAACTGGAGACGGTTGTGTTCGAAGCGTGGATTGAAATACTCTCTGCCACCACCGAAAGGTACTTTCATTTTTGATTTGACGATTTAATGAGGAGGAGATGTAGAGAGTATTGTTGAGATAGGATGTGTAATGAGAGCGATGAATTGCTGAATATATGAATGCTATTGGAACATGAAATATGAATGTNTGCAGGTGGTAAACACGCCACAGATCCACAGCTGTTCGAAGATCAACGTATGCCACAAAATCGAGTGGCCAGATGCCATTTGAATCCGTTGGATAGTGGGCCGTTTGCAATGCACGATGTTACGAGCAGGTGAGCAATTTTGTGACCTTGCAACAGTGTGAATTCCAGATTTCTGATTTATTCAGTTTCAAGATTGCAAACGTTCAAAAAGGATTATCTTTGAAGCATCATCTGTTAGAATAAGATCGTAGAATCATTAGATTTAGATGGTTTAGGTGAAATGCGAACTTTGGAATAGTCATTTAGCATGAGATGTTTAAGTGTTGTTTTATTTGTGTTATTTCAAGATCAGCAGTATTGGGCATCCGTGATCGACAGGAAGCTATGAGACGACGTAACCCGAACATGGCATCTCATGGACGTAAACGGGGTGGTAAGAAACGATAGTGGTAATTGTTGTTGTGCATTGAGAAGGGTGTTGTAGAGCAGTGTTTTTGTTGGATGGAAGTTGTGAATTTTNGTAATGGTTGGTTCGCACACTTGTTTTGTTAAATGAGAAGTGATATGTTCAAGAAGATGGGCATTGTGTTGAAATATTTGTCACTTCAGTGGATCAAGATTTCAAGTGATATCATTTATGCATAGGGGAGGTTTGGGATTGATAGTTATCACTTGTTTCATTTCTAATTACCAACGTATAACCGTGGTGCCGAACTTTTTAGTTGTTCAAATTTGTCTAAATTCTACTTGTATTCAATTTGGATTTTGGCCCTTGTTATCCCAAAATTGATAGAAATATTGTTTTTCATTGATATTGTTGTTGTTTACATTTGTTGTGATTATTTTTGTTGTTCTATTCAAAGAGTGTTTATTGGATAGAAATAAAGGGTTTTATTTGTACTAAAGAATTGACTGTTCTGTTTCAAAGATAATGGTTAAAACTAACCTTAATTGGCATATCTGAAAGATTTCTAATGACATTTGAACTGACATTTTGATTTTTTTCATTGATTTATGAGGATGTTTTTTCTATTCTTGTGTTGTTGCTCAGCTGATGAAGTGATATGATGAGGGAGCCGTTGAAGCGTCGAGAGAACGAGCTTTTTTGGAATTTTATTAGTTAATAATGAACGTTTTTGCTTGATTTTCAGTATTTGGGACAATATGCCAACTCCAGAATACTATTGTCACAACTGTGAACTAGGAGTGAGTCTTCGCGATGGAGTTAGTTTTTCATTTATTCATTGCTTTTTATGGATTTTATTTTGTTTGTATTTGAAATTTTGTTTTCTGATAGAGCATTTGACTAGTTTTCAATACAAACTTTTGCCATATTAATTTTTTTCAGGTCGTGTAATTATTACACAATGATCAGAAAACAAACCAAAAACCTTTTTTAAAATTGTTAAGTATCCGTAAATGATTGCAGGATTTCGTTTGCGCTCGATGCGGTGGTGAATTCATCGAGGAAATACCACCCGATACTCGTGCAGTGAATCCATTTGCATCGGTCAGGAATTTTTCTTCTCTTATGTATGCGGGTATCAGTGTTGCGGCAAATGTAACAATTTCAGATGTTGAACTGTTCATTAAATAGTGCAGTGGATCTCAGCCTTTTCTGTTCGCACTCCTTAAAAAAGTTTAAGCTGTCCTCGCACCCCATAAAACAGTCGTTAAATGTCCTCGGACCTCTTACAACATCCACTCTGTATTTCTCATCAACTGCAGTGAGTAGTGTGTATTTATACAATGCTAAGTGTTTATTTATAGTCTACATAAGTTTATAAGTTAAAGTCCATCTTCACCGGCTTTACCCACACTTATGCGTTGAATGCTTAAAAAAATAATACCTCATCTCGCACCCTCAGTTGAGAAACCCTGAGAGAGTGTATCATAACAAGATCGAGGCTGCTCTCACAATCGCTGTTTCAAATGATTAATAATAAGTGTAGAATAAGTACAGTGTCTGCACACAACTCAACCGTATCACACTATTATTATATGTAACATAGCTGATCAGTATAAAAGTCCGCTGTTTTTTATTATGATTTCGATATGTGACTGGTTTAGTGTGATCCGTTGACAAGGCGTGAAATTTGTTTTAGATATTCGAGAGTTTATTGAGTGAAGGTGGAGGTGGAGGTGTGGGCGCATTCAATATGAGCGGACACACCGCATCGGGGGTTGCCGGAGCAGGCGCAGGACCATCGCGAATGGGTCGTGGAGGTGGCGTTCAACCGACCGCGATTCGATTCGGAAGTGGTCAAGGTGGAAATACTGGCGACAATATTATCGCCGTATTTCTCAATCAACTTCTATCAAATCTATCTGCTCAAGGTGCACAAATACAGTTACAAATCACTCGTGATCCTACGTCTGGGTCTGTTTTGGACATTATTTTTTGGATTTGTTTGTTGCTCTTTGCTTTTTATTAATACATATGGTGTGGATTTTTGATCAGTTTTTTTTTTGAGCATCAAGAATGGAATAATCTATTGTTTATAGAGTAAATTATAGCGATGTTACACTGCCATCAGTGTTGAATGAATGAATGAATGGTTTCGAATTTCAGTATCTTGCATGGATCGATGGGTGACTACGCGTGGGGTGAAGGCGGGTTAGATCAAATAGTAACACAACTGTTGAATCAATTCGAAGGAGGTGCCACTCCGATTGATCCGAAATTAATCGGCAACTTACCAATGATCACCGTCGAACAATCGCATGTCGATGCGGATACACAGTGCACAACGTGTATGGAACGCTATAAACCGGTACGTACTTTCGTTTATTTTTTGAACGTTTCGCCGTCTCAAATGCTCTATTTTATTTCTGTATCAAATATATCAAATCTTAAATATAAATACTGTATTTTATTTCTGAATGTTTGATCGAAATCCGTAATGGATTTATTTTGGAACATAGTTCTATCCAATATTTATTTATTGTTATTATTTTTGATTGTCTAGATGGTGAATCTTCAATGCTTCGGTGTTGATTTTCAAAAACAACTCATTTTATTGCTCTTATTCGTCCATCTATGAGGTGCGCTTTGTAAGAGAGGAAATCGTCGAAAGTAATTAATTAATTGTGCAAACATTGGCTAGAACTGCAAACACTATTGTTTTGGTGTAGCAGTGAGTAGATGAGATCAAGCTTAAGTGAATGCTCAAATTTAGAGCTTTTTAAGTTTTTTTTTCAAATTTGTTTTAAGAAGTGGAGAAAGGTGAAATGAAAAAGATGTCAGAGTAAAAAAATCCACTGAGAATAACCTCAGTTAGGATACTTTTCCGTATTTGTCCTTCTTTATCGTTTGTTCGTTGAAAGTTCAATGGAAATCAATTAGAATGTTGAAATGAATTTGAATTTGTGAATATTTGAGGGAGAGAAGGTGGCACAACTGGAATGCCATCACGTGTTCCATCGCGAATGTATTGTACCGTGGTTGCAGAGGCGTAACACCTGCCCGATATGTAGACAAGTTATTGATGCAACTAAATGGCCGAGTTGTAATCCGTTGGATGAATTGGACTAATTGATTGATTTATTGATCGATTTTATTGATTGATCAGAAGTGATCAGTTGATCACAATTATTGATCAATTTATTTATTCACTGGCATATGAAAAATTATTGATACACTTCAAGTAAACGACTGAAATAAACATTGGTGGTCAACTTTTCATCAAAATTTTCATATTGTGAACTATTGTGTTGATTCAGTGAATCTGATCATCAATCGGTTTCGTTTATTGATTCATCCATTCGTTTGTTTTTCATCGGAATGAAAGCATCGGAGTTTTTGGTTGATATTTAGTTTTTGATAGATTACTGATTTTGATATTTGGGTTCGTTATTATTGTTACTTAGAGAACTTACGATTAGAGCGAGCGCGAAATTTCATTCATTGTTTTTGTGTTATTTTATTTATTGACTGTATTCTGACTTTATCTTTGTCGTGTTTGATTATTCCTAATATTATCTTCTTTCAGTCATTTTCACGTAATTTTTTACGTACTTCTCTTTAATACTGATCTGTTTGAACGAAAGCTTTCTTGTCTTATAATATTCAGACCGATGTGTGGAATTGGGTGATAATTTAGTATAGGGCACTAGACACTCAACAGAAATTCTCTCACGATCAGACAGAATTCATGCGGCTACTGCACGAGGCTGCCTGGAATGTGAAGTGTGAAATGAGGATTTCTAGAAAGGAATTGTGGAATAATTGTTCGTCGCATTCTTAAGAAGTCATGTTAAGCGTAGTATCATCTGCGATCTTGGATAAGTAAAAACGTGACAATGATAGTGGGGCTAGAACTAGAATTCATATAAGTAATATTCTGTTTTAAGTTGCTATGTTGCACTTGTTTATTTGTTAATTGACTGCATAGCTATAATATGTAATCAGTGATTGTTGAATACTGAGGCAAGTTTTGTGTATAGGTCCGTGCTTAGTGTATATACATTGTTAATTTTTAGCAAGCAATTGATTTTATTTCGAAAACATTCAAAAGATTCGTTTTAAAATGAAACTGATCCACAACAGCAGGTTATCTCCTCCGAAATAACAGATTATTTCGTTGAGAAAATGTTCGACGTGTATAACAATGGTCATTGCATGAATGAATTAGTTTGTATCAATGCGTTCGTTAGAATTGACATTTGAGAGGAGAGGAATAGAAATAAACGTTGGAAATATTAAATCAGAATGAGTTAATCACTTACTTCCTTGTATGTTAATA